AACAGTTTCATCTTCTGGCTATGTTACGTGCGCATCTTAGTGTAAATGTGAAATGATGCGAATGCGTGTTGAAAGTAAAAAGAGAACCAAAATGGAGGAATATGAACAAGAAAGTGTTTTCAGTGTTAATAAAGATTAAAGTATTTATAAACGGTGATTTGTCGTTTCCATGTCTAAAGAGTCTCATCTAATATGAAGACGTAACAGGCTATTATTAAATAACGAATATTAAATAATATTAAAATATTTGATCTTTCTAATGAAATTAGAGGAAGTATGCATAAAAACGGATTAAAGTTTTGAAACATTTATTCAGGTCACCTCAAAGTCAAAAAAGGAAAAGGGTTAGTAATGGAGCTGAGGATTCACCGATGTCGAAAAAAAAGAAAATTGAAAAAGGGTAGGTTTTGATCTTAATAAAATAATTACTAGCTAAGTCTTGTGAAAGATTTTATTAGTTTTTATAAGCTTGTGGTCTTGCAAACTTTATGACTCTTCACCTTTGTATTTAAAAAAATGCTTTGTTCTATGCTTAAGTGGATAAACATAGATTTTGTCTTACAGTAAAACTTATAAAATCATTGTTAGCTTTCAAAGATTAAAGCCTTATATTTTAAATAAAAGTCAGGTAATATTTTATTTAGTTGTGGATATGAAAGTGTCATTCTTCCACTTTTTAGTGTTTTTTTTTTTTTGCTTATTATTTAAAATTAGAACCAATCTTTGTGTGTAAACTGAAATTCTAGTCGATCTTTAGTTTCCAAATTCTTTATTCTCCTATATTTTTTGTTATGGTTTTGTTCAGCTTTTTGCTTAAATTAAAAAGGGTTTCTTAAAAACAAATATTTGACATAAAGTAAGCTTTTTTTAAAATAATTTTTCAAATTTCTTTTGAATTAAAAAGGGGAGACTATCATAATGATCATATTCTATCAAATTAAATTGTAATTTTTCGACTAATAGTCCTAAAATAAAGTATAGATAGTGCAGACCTGCCTACTGTTACGCAAAATGCGTATTCGTTACGCAAAATCTCAAAAAAAAAATGACTGCCAGTACTCAAATACGAATTTAACCCGTCACGTTACGCATTTCGTATCCTTTTTTTTTCTCCTCTCTAGACTAGCTTACAAGTGGTCACAGAGGTCACGCTAAGCCCACCTTTGGGGAGAGGGGGGAAACAGAAAAGGTGGGGTGAACACAATGTGCCCAGATCTATACGTTGATTGGTTCTTAATAGCAATTAGATTTAATCTAGAAATGAAGAACGCGAGAGTGAGGGAGTAGCGGGTTGGTACCGTCAGTTAGATGATACACCAACATGACTTTTTTTTTTGTAAGTTCATTAGTAGAAATTAATTATGTTGGTGCATTAAAAATAAGTTGAATGTAAAAAAAAAAAAAGAATCCCTGATTTCCGTATTCATTGTATAGAAAAAAATATCGAAGTGCTATCGATTCAAAACGCATTGAGCGACATTGTAGATATCTAATCTAGATCTAGAATGATAAGAATCTAGATAACTTGTTATACAGGAATAGATCTAGCTAGAGTCAAGCTAGTCATCTACAATCTAGATCCAATTTAGTTATAGTATGATTTAGAATTTAGATTGACTAGATCTGGATCAATAACATCTACCATTTAGTCTAAAGCTAGATTAGATTCTTAGTATAGAATAGACCTACGTTTGTAGCGGATCCACGTCATCTGTAACACTCTTGAGCCCAGATCTAGAGTAGATTATATTCATTATATAGACATAGATCCAGATCTAGTCTAGATATCATCTCTATTGATTTAGATGGTAGATCTAACCATGACATCTAATATTATGTATATATATATATATATATGACAAAATAGTGGATCGCGTAAATGTTACGCATTCTGGTGCCAAAATACGTATTTTGACCGTAGGCATTTGAACTTTTTTTGGTAGGCAGGTCTGATAGTGTATGTAAAAATATATTCTTATAAAAAATATAAGAATGTCATAAATATTCATTGGAAAATGTTATAATATTCTAATCACATAATTGAAGTTTGATAGAAAGATTAAATAAAAGATACATAATGATTTTATGATTACAATTACTCATTTTAAAATTTTAATTTTTAAAAATCATACTGAAATGTTTTCTTGATTGAAAATGAAAAATACACAGAATTAGCTAGTACCATTCTAATTAAGATCATAATTACTACAACAGCATTCTTTTCTTCTTAGAATTCAAAAACGTCCTCGGGAAAGTTCAGATGAAAATGAAAAAGTTCCCCACAAAAAGGTTATGCCAAGCAACTCAGCTAAAAAGGTTGAAGAAAATAGCAGCAGTGATTCAGACTCTGACACTGGCAGTTCAAAAGTGGCAAAGAAAACAGTAACAGCTAAAGCTGCACAAAATTCTTCAGATAGTGATTCAGAATCCTCAGGCTCTGAAGGCACCAAAAAAAAATTATCCCCAAAGCCAAAAACTGCAATAGTAAAGCAGCAGCAGGTTAGTGCTAAAAAAAAGAAAGAAGAATCATCTGATAGTGATTCCAGTTCTGAAGATGAAGCTAAAACATCTACACATAAACCCCAAGCTGCAATGATAAAATCAGCCAAACCAAGAACAACAACAGCAAAACCCCAACTTGCAGATACCAAACCTTTAGAATCAAAAGTAACACTTAAAAAAGAATCATCAGATTCTGACAGTGATTCCAGTTCTGAAGAAGATGGCACTAAGAAACCAGCTGTCAAACCTCAGCCTGTTACTGCCAAACCCACAATTCTAAAGGTAGCAGCTAAAAAAGAATCCTCAGATTCTGACAGTGATTCCAGTTCAGAAGAAGAGCAAGCTAAGAAACCAGCTGCCAAACCTCAGCCTGCAGCAGCTAAATCTGCAACTTCTAAAGTAGTAGCAAAAAAAGAATCTTCCTCCGATAGTGATTCCAGTTCTGAAGAAGAGCAAGCTAAGAAACCAGCTGCCAAACCTCAGCCTGCAGCTGTTAAACCTGCAACTCCTAAAGTAGCAGCAAAAAAAGAATCTTCCTCTGATAGCGATTCCAGTTCTGAAGAAGAGCAAGCTAAGAAACCAGCTGCCAAACCTCAACCTGTTGCTGCTAAACCTGCAACTCCTAAAGTAGCAGCAAAAAAAGAATCTTCCTCTGATAGCGATTCCAGTTCTGAAGAAGAGCAAGCTAAGAAACCAGCTGTCAAACCTCAACCTGTAGCTGCTAAACCTGCAACTCCTAAAGTAGCAGCAAAAAAAGAATCTTCCTCTGATAGTGATTCCAGTTCAGAAGAAGAGCAAGCTAAGAAACCAGCTGCCAAACCTCAGCCTGCAGCAGCTAAACCTGCAACTTCTAAAGTAGTAGCAAAAAAAGAATCTTCCTCCGATAGTGATTCCAGTTCTGAAGAAGAGCAAGCTAAGAAACCAGCTGTCAAACCTCAGCCTGCAGCTGTTAAACCTGCAACTCCTAAAGTAGCAGCAAAAAAAGAATCTTCCTCCGATAGCGATTCCAGTTCTGAAGAAGAGCAAGCTAAGAAACCAGCTGCCAAACCTCAACCTGTTGCTGCTAAACCTGCAACTCCTAAAGTAGCAGCAAAAAAAGAATCTTCCTCTGATAGCGATTCCAGTTCTGAAGAAGAGCAAGCTAAGAAACCAGCTGTCAAACCTCAACCTGTAGCTGCTAAACCTGCAACTCCTAAAGTAGCAGCAAAAAAAGAATCTTCCTCTGATAGCGATTCCAGTTCTGAAGAAGAGCAAGCTAAGAAACCAGCTGTCAAACCTCAACCTGTAGCTACTAAACCTGCAACTCCTAAAGTAGCAGCAAAAAAAGAATCTTCTTCTGGTAGTGATTCCAGTTCTGAAGAAGAGCAAGCTAAGAAACCAGCTGTCAAACCTCAACCTGCAGCTGCTAAACCTGCAACTCCTAAAGTAGCAAAAAAAGAATCTTCCTCCGATAGTGATTCCAGTTCAGAAGAAGAGCAAGCTAAGAAACCAGCTGTCAAACCTCAACCTACAGCTGCTAAACCTGCAACTCCTAAAGTAGCAGCAAAAAAAGAATCTTCCTCTGATAGCGATTCCAGTTCTGAAGAAGAGCAAGCTAAGAAACCAGCTGTCAAACCTCAACCTGTAGCTACTAAACCTGCAACTCCTAAAGTAGCAGCAAAAAAAGAATCTTCTTCTGGTAGTGATTCCAGTTCTGAAGAAGAGCAAGCTAAGAAACCAGCTGTCAAACCTCAACCTGCAGCTGCTAAACCTGCAACTCCTAAAGTAGCAAAAAAAGAATCTTCCTCCGATAGTGATTCCAGTTCAGAAGAAGAGCAAGCTAAGAAACCAGCTGTCAAACCTCAACCTACAGCTGCTAAACCTGCAACTCCTAAAGTAGTAGCAAAAAAAGAATCTACTTCTGATAGTGATTCCAGTTCAGAAGAAGAGCAAGCTAAGAAACCAGCTGCCAAACCTCAACCTGTAGCTGCTAAACCTGCAACTCCTAAAGTATCAGCAAAAAAAGAATCTTCTTCTGGTAGTGATTCCAGTTCTGAAGAAGAGCAAGCTAAGAAACCAGCTGTCAAACCTCAACCTGCAGCTGCTAAACCTGCAACTCCTAAAGTAGCAGCAAAAAAAGAATCTTCCTCCGATAGTGATTCCAGTTCAGAAGAAGAGCAAGCTAAGAAACCAGCTGTCAAACCTCAACCTGTAGCTGCTAAACCTGCAACTCCTAAAGTAGCAGCAAAAAAAGAAGCTTCTTCTGATAGTGATTCCAGTTCTGAAGAAGAGCAAGCTAAGAAACCAGCTGTCAAACCTCAACCTACAGCTGCTAAACCTGCAACTCCTAAAGTATCAGCAAAAAAAAAAGCTTCCTCTGATAGTGATTCCAGTTCAGAAGAGGAGCAAGCTAAGAAACCATCTGCCAAACCTCAACTTGCAGCTGCTATACCTGCAACTCCTAAAGCAGCATTTAAAAAAGAATCCTCTGACTCAGATAGTGATTCCAGTTCTGAAGAAGAGCAAGCTAAGAAACCAGCTGTTAAACCTGCAACTAAAGTACCAGCCAAAAAAGAATCTTCATCTGATAGTGATTTCAGTTCAGAAGAGGAGCCAGCTAAGAAACCAGCTGCCAAACCACAACCTGTAGCTGCTAAACCTGTTACTCCTAAAGCAATTAAAAAAGAATCCAGTAGTGATTCCAGTTCAGAAGAAGAGCAAGATAAGAAACCAACTGCCAAAGCCCAGCCTTTAGCTGTTAAGCCTGCTACTCCTAAAGCAGCATCTAAAAAGGAGTCCTCTGACAGTGACTCCAGCTCTGAAGAAGAGCAAGCTAAGAAAACGGCCAATATAACCCATCCTGTAGCCGCAACACCTGTGACTCCTAAAGCAGGAGCTAAAAAGGAATCTTCTGATTCTGACAGTGATTCTAGTTCTGAAGAAGAGCAAGCTAAAAAAAAGGCTGCTAAACCTTGCATAGCAAATTCAAATCTATCTACCCCTAAGGTAATACTTTTTTTGTTAACACTTATAGAAAATATTTCTTTTTCTGTCTCTTGGTGCTATATTATTCAAATTTCTATACACTCTATTTGAACGGCAGCTCTATTCGTTTTTTTTTCTCTGTTCTGAAGGAAATTACATTTCTCTAATATTTTCGTGGTATTGAAATCCTTGTCAAAATAGAATCATTTTACTGCAAAATGAATTCCACAATAAATACACTTCCTGCAATTGGGCAGCTATGCTGAATTTTAAAAGACGTATCCATTCATGACTTTCGCAAAAAACTAAAACCTCTTCCTTTAATTCTTATAGAGACCCATTTCTTCTTCACCTTTTTTTTTTTCTATTTTAAAGATACTTATTCAATATTAATTTTATTCAGTTATAATTGACAATCAATCCATGAGACAACTTAAAACTAGGTGATTTGACAGCATTTAATGCAATTCAGTCAGAAAAAAATTCAGTGCACACATTTTCTATTTGTATAAATGATAGTTTGGTCTTTTTAGTTACACAAAATTCAAATGCATTAAAACCCTTTAGCCCTTAAGCAATTGTCGGGAACTAACTTCATTAAGAGCAGGGATATAACTGAGTGTTAATAATAAATAATCAATTTTTTTTGACAAAATCCACAGAAGTAATTCTAATCATACAAATCTTCCTTTTATAATTTGAGAAAACTAGTCTTAAAGATTAGCATAAAAGTCATGAATAGATGTAGATAGTTCAATAATATTTAATCTCTCCAAAATTATTTTTCTGTTCAGAAGGAATTATTTATCTTTCATATTTGTACTTTACTAGCCTGTTAGAGTTAAACTTCAATAACATTTTTCTTTTAATCAGACAATGTTGTAATTGGTAGAGAAAAGTGAATACCCTTTTTATATAACACCATTAAAAGTTTATGAAACCAAAAAGTTAATTTAATGGGGTCAAATCAACGATGGTATCGTCAATCAGGAGAGAAAGAGTTAGAGATAACATGTTAAGGCCTTCTTTCTATTGTTTATTTAAATACCTTAGATGGGCTGGTCTCATGACAAAAATCCTCAGCTTTAGCAGTGATCAATGTACCAAAAAATATGAATGCCTGGCAGACAAAAATAAAAATGTTTAAAAATTTTGAAATGTGTCTAGTAGTGTTTTCTAAAAAAATTTTATTATTTTACTTGATCTCTTCACAGCGTGTTAATGGGGTGCATTCTGGCAAGAGTAAACAAGCCTCCTCTGAGAGTGGCTCATCAGACAGTGATAGTGCAGAAGAAACAAATCAAGTTATATCTACACCAAGTTTACTATCTAAATCTACCAATCCTGTTCAGTCATCGACACCTTATAATGTTTTGAATAGTTCTAATCATGATGTCAATGATGGTGATGTATCACAGAAAGATAATTTTAACCAATCAGACATTTCTTTTTCAACTCCAAAGCTCAATGGAATAAATGATTCAGTGGGAGATGCTGGTAGTTCAAAAAAGGTAACAATATTTGATTTTTATATAAGGTATTTCCATCAGAATTTAGCTTAAATGTGTACAAACAGTGAGTGATAAACCCTTATTGTCTACCATTTCTTCTAGCTAAAATTTTTTACTTCTGGTCAATGGTCACTTAGTTTTCCCATCTGTATTCTTTTAGTTGTCATTATTTCGGTAGCTTTTAATTTTATTAAATTATAATGAAAGTTTGAAAGAAAAAAATTCCAATTTAAAACCTGCTAATAACACATCGTTGTGATTGTGAATGAAGATATATAACATATAATTATGTAGTTATAAAAAAAAAAAACTGACACTATAATCACTTCTGATAAATGCGAGTTAAATAGAATTTTGTTAAGATCATTAAAGCTTTTTAATATATTTTAAACATGACATAAAGAATGCAAAGTACGTTTTCTTATTATATTCCTTTGTCCATATATTTCAAAGTATTAGAATTGTATAAACATTTTATGAACACACAAAACAAGTCACAATTTTATTCCCCATTTTGTGAGCTATACACCAAATAAAATAATGTTGATCTTTTGTTGGCAGAGGACACCCAATGAGCCATTCAGACGTGTCAGGTCAGAAGAAATTTATGTGGATCCTAAATTCAGAAATAATTCATTTGAAGCAAAGGTAATTTATAATTAATTCTTTTTGTTAGTATAAATTTTGCACTTATTTACTATTTAAGTTTGCATTAAACATTTCTCAATTTCTTGTTGGTGTTGCTGCTTGACATTACAAACATGTTTTCTTTCTCCTTCAAAAAAAAAACATAACATAAAAAGCCATACCAAAATTAAGAGAGAAGCTACTAGCAGAATCTTCTGTCAACATATTTTTTTTGGTACAATTGAAGGATTAAGTGGAGAAAAGGGTAGAAGGATCAACTAGAATTTTGGAGGGAAGAGGCACAGGATGTGTATAAAAGAGTTGTGGTGTGTGGGTTACACATTGGAAGACATGTATGGAGTTAAAAGTGTTCTAAAAATAAGGCCTTTTTCCGTCCAAAGATTAATGAGGAAAAATATTTTTCATGTGGCTACCTGACTGCAACCTACATATTTTGCCACATCCAGCACAGACATAACCATTGTTGGCATTGGTCAATTTAGTTATTCTTTTTGCTGTCTACGAATGTCATTGGTAGTGGATTTTTCTTTGGTTACAATGTGTATCCTGCTGCCTTTGTAATAATCTACCAGCTGTCTTGCTATAGAGAAATAAGGTATTTTCTATCAGTGGGAAGGGTGAAATTTAAAAAAGATTAGGGAAATTAACCAGTAAGTCCTATATAATATTTGGGTGTTATAATGTTGTAGACCTCCTTTAGTTGTAAAAGGGCTATAGTCTATCATGTAGATACATTTTTTATCATTGGCATTAGCTCCTCTCCTCTTCATGCAAATAATACCCAATACATTTTGGGAACAGCACATCAGGTCTTATCAGGCTGTAGCATTGTATGCTGAATGTTGCCAAAATGTCACTGGCTCCTGAATTTCCCTCAAGGTTGAACCCTGAATCCTTTATATCATGTTTGCGCACAGCTAAAAAAACAGCAGTTTTAGAATGAATTTATGAGATTCTTAGGAACTGAAACCTTAATTTAATTTCTCTCAAATTTTGGATATTTTTACAGAGAAAAATAAATAACATTGTGCAATATCATGCATTGTATAATATGAATATCTAGCAAAGTTGGAAATAATTATCTACTTCCTGCTTTTCCTAGGCATTGTATAGAATGACTTGAACTACTTCAGGCAAAGTAGAAAATGCCTTAAATTAAAAGACATACAGACTACATTTACAAAAATCTCCCATGGGTTCTGACCAAACTATTATAACAGAATGGGCAATTGCTTTATCAAGCTTCTATTTTGAGCTGGTTCCAGGTCAAAGAGCTGTCCCTGATTTGCATAAACCTTTAATCCTATGGAGTATGACATTGATGCTATTTTCATGTTCAATATTACAATACATTTATTATGTCACTCCTGCTTTTAGTTCCTACTAGAATGTCACAAAACTGCCCTGGAAAAAAAAGCATAATGATAATGATAAATTATTATTTTTTACATTGATGAGTTGTCTACAGTATTCAGTTGAGAAGCAAATCATCAAATTGTGAAAAAAAATAATAAAAAATTTCAATGTTATTATTTTACATGAAGATTCTAAAGTATGTTGCTTTATCAACAGAGAGGTGCTCAAGGATCATGGGGAGAGAAAGCTCACAAAGATCTAATAGTAACACGAGGAAAAGGTTTCAAGCATGAGAAGACAAAAAAAAAGAGAGGCAGTTATAGAGGAGGCACAATAGACACTGGTGTTCATTCTATTAAATTTGATGAAAGTGATTAAATATTTCCATTAAATGATTCTCTTTTAAATAAATGCTTCTGTACTTTTTAACACTTGAAAGTAAACACCATTAGATTGAATATATTGTCAAAGCTCTGCACTGTTAACAGATAGAACACCCATTGAATGGTCTTTAGTGGTATATTTGTAAGAAACATTTAACTTCTAGAGAAATGTACTCTAAATGTATTAGATATCATGTTTGTTAATATACAAGAACAAATGTCAAAATTTTAACATTTTATTTATTGACATGTGGTGCTAATAGTGAAGGTTCAATAAGTGAATCCATAATAGGAATGTCCAAATTGTAGTCATGGGCTTGATGTTTCATCTGTAAGCCACTTCTTCTGTTTGACCTTTGAGGTATGGGTAGTTCAGAGTGGTGGGCAGGCAGTGGTTCAGTAAAAAAATAGGGATGGAGTAATGCCTGAAATTCAAAAATAATTGACAAATGATACATTCATCATCTGCTTCTGTTGTAAAAGTTCATGTCATGCTATTTTTTTAAAATTTACATTGTAATTCATTTAGATTTTGTTAAAGTGAAACTAATAATCATGTTGAAAATAATCTGTTCTGTTGCAAGGCTGATTCACTTTAATAATAAAAATTAGAGCAGTATTTTCACAAAAATAGTTTTGCTTAGTTTTTCCATCTGTAAGGTGAATTTGATTGTGCAATACTAATAGAAATAAAAGTCATAGCAAAAAATTGATATCGGGTAATTTTTGTTAAGAAAAATAGAACAGTACATATTTACAGTTCTTCTTGGAGATTATAGTGAACTTATCCAGTAGTACCATGCAGAAATATTGTCAAACATTCTACATTTGTATCCTTCCTC